TCATCAAATATAATAAAAAGGATGGAGTATATATTTTAGAAAAAAATACCTTAATAATTCCTAGCTCCTACTTCCTACTAGTCAACATTACCTTTAAAGGTTATTAACTACTATTTTGGGTATTTTTGTTGTCATTTCTTCAAATATGCAATTAAAGCAGACTTATTATTCCAAACAAACTTCTTATTTACGATATTTTTGTTTTTAACAAAGAAAACTTAATCTTGGTAGACTTAATTAAGTTTGAGAGCCTATTCTTTCTTCGTCCACGCTCTATCTTCTTCTTTTTCCTTTATTGAGCTTAGTGCTTTGTTTCTATAGTTCTTTGTTTCTACGGGCTACGCTTGACTTAGATTGTGAATCCTAATATGAAGATCCTATATTGGTTATTTAATTACTACGCTTGTATTTCACATTCTTAATGTTTTCATTACTAGAATTAACTCGTAAATATTGATCTAAAGTATTATATTGAGCCATATCATATATTATCTTAACTGACTTATTAAAAGAAGACCTTAATTCATATGTATAAAGAAGGAGGTGGAGCAATCGGTGCCGGTGATGGAGCTTGAGGGTCTTCATGAGAACCACATTTGATATCAATGGAGACAAATTGACTAATAACATCCGCGAACTGGCAAAATACGGTGAGAGGCGTTTTCGGAGATGAAGAAGTGATATTGATGTGTTCCATCACGATGTTACCACAACGTAAATTCTTATCACAATCTAGTTTTATTGCAGTAGCATCTGCACATGTTCCTCTGAAATATTTAAATGTCACGTCGCTCACTTTCACAGCATTCGTTGTGGCCTGAAAGATTTCACAACATGAATAATTTATATGCTTTCAGTAAATTTGGAGCCAAGAATAAAAAAACTTTCTTAACCAAAGTTGAAGAAGCATTTTTCTTTTAGTTTCATGTAAATTTTATAACCACATGATCATCATGGTATCAATATATCAGTTTAATAAAGGTAATATCACTTCATATATATAAAAAAAGATTGTAAAGTTAAAAAAATTTACCGTTGGATTAAAGTAACTAGCACCAATACTGTATTGTTGATCGATGATGATGGGGAATTGGGCATTTATCAGCGTAATATTCTCGTATACAATATTTTTGACAAACCCTCTTCCTCCCTAAAGAATTATGTAACATCCCAATATAAGAAATATAATTTATATATTGCTATGATATGTTAGTTCTTATTAAAAAAAAACTTACAGGCCAAGTCTTGATTCTTGCACCATTCTGAGTTCCTTTGAAGCTGCAGTGTCTTACATTCACGTTTTGTACTGTGTCAATTGCTCCTCCTTTCCCCAAACTTCCGATACTGTTAGTTTAAAGACAAAAAAACACAGCTTAATATTAAATTTGTTCTCTTAAAACAAAATAACAAGCTTATACTCAAGATGCTTTTACATCAAAAATAAAATATGTCGTCTAAAGAAATGTAAAGCATTTTTATCTAGAAAAAAGAAGTAATTAATGGGGAGTGTAATCCATCGCTTTATCCAAAATGAGCTAACGAAGTTCGTTTTTAGGAGCACACACACAAATAGTGAGATGAAAATGTATAGCCAAAAACTCGATAAACAAATTATATATACATATGAATTTATATGTGAAAACCTTATGCCATGACCGGGGCCACATGCCACATCAGTTATGTTGATATCGTATGAACCACCTTTAATCGCAACGCAGTCATCACCTAGTATGCACGTAGAAAACCATATAGATCACAAATCATTTTTTTTTTTTTGTAAATTTTCAACCCCTATTGTTTGATTAAGAAAGAATGGTAATACCGGTTGTGATTGACGAGCTGAAAATATGGATATTGTGTGAAAGAGATATATCAATGCCATCGGTGTTTGGACTATTTTCGGGTGCGATTAGATGAATATTTGAGAATGTTACATTCGTGCTACTAAAAACTGAAATGTGACTTCTTGGACTGTCCTTTTGAGTTAATCCATTATATGTGATGTCTTCGCATCCCGAAAATTTCACTGCCTGCATAAGCGAAAGTAAACCATAAATTAAAAATATATATAAGTATTCTTAAGACTCTCAAACGAAAAAACTTTTTAATGAAGCATATATTAATACCAACATCTTGAATAGTTTCAACATACCACTGGCCGGGAGGAACACTCAACAGAAGGCCACCAGTTTCCTCCATTCCCATTGAGGAGACCAGACCCATCGAGAACGAGACCTGTCACCTTATCGAAACATAACCAACACTCACTTGTTTTGCTTCCCCACTCCTTTACCATTTTCTGGCGCTTCAATGGTTCCATCAATCTTGCCCAAAAAAATGAAGATAATTAATATGTATATGAGTAGTGTACAATATATACAATGAGATTTCTTTAAACTTAGATCATATGATGATTAATTCTCGGCGGCGTTCTAACTAAAAAATAAACTACGAAATCTCAAGTGTCAAAATATGTAGGTTGGACGTTTGTTTCTTTTGTTTCAGAATTTTTGGGTATTGGAAAAAAGTCCAAACTAGAATTGGATTTTATTTCACTCCGGTTTTTATTTTTTGAAAGTTTGGTTTGGGTTGGATTTCGGGTTCATATAAAAAAAAATCAATTGTAAGTTTCTAACTAATAATCTATAGTACTATATGTAT